CAGGGGCAAGTCAGCTCCCTGATATTGGCGCAGCAGGGCCCGTCTGAGCTTGGCGTCCAAGTCAGCTGAGATCAGTGCTTTCTTTGCTGCAGCTCGTTGTCGAAGTAGTTGTTCGAATTGATCATGGTCTCCAAGCTGTGCAGGACTGAGTTCATCATGTGAAAGTCCACCAGGCAAGCGTGGGATCTTTCCAAGTAGCCACTGTGAAGGCGTGTAGCCAGCAACGCTCAAGGTGTCGTTGAGCTGGGGCACCACATAGGTCAGCGCCTGCCGGATGCCTTTGCTTCCGGAGACCTTCATGTCGTCCATGTAGATCTCGATGGCTTTGCGCAAGGTGGTGTGCCGGCGCTCCAAAAGTGACAAGCGATGAGACTCAGCAGGTGCAACAATGTGCTCCACAGAGTGTTGGGTTGTCCAGGCATTCATCTCCTCACCAACCCATCCACGTCCTTCATCTGAGCACAAGCACTGAGGAAGTCCAAAGTGCCTGATCCAGGCTCGTTCAAGTCCATGGATCAAGTGTTCACCACGTTCTCCATGAAGCAACGTCGCCACGGTGTATTTTGTGGCCTGGTCGATGATGCTCAAAACGGGGAACTTCTTGGCACTGACGTTGCACTTGATCCACAGCACATCGGCCTGCAAACGTTCTCCAACCTCATGGGCCTGGTTTCGCAGTGTCGAAGGTGCCACCTGGTTGGGTCGCTTGTAGCGCAGGCATGCAGTGCATTGGAAGTGGCGAGCTGCCTCAATCACTTGATCGCTAGCTCCTCGGCTTTGAAGAAGTTCAACCAAAGCCTCAGGTTTGGGATGCCCAAGGTTCCTGTGCAGACGCTGCACAGTGCGCACTGCTTCGGTCTTCAGGGCTGTCTGGAGCTTCACAAGGCACCCAGTGACCTCTTTCTGCTCAGCGACTGCAAGTCCATAGTCCCAAAGCTGAGCTGGGTCTGGGGCGTTGATGGCAGCTGCAATTGTGGCTGCAAGGCCAGGTTGGTAATCCTCTAAGTAGGAGGTGCGTCGGCCAAGTCCAGGTGCCGATCCCTCCAAAGGACAGTGCAAGTGTTGCCCATCGCACTGCTTTGCCAGTGCGGCCTGCATGGAGACCTTGCTCGACAGGATGCCTGTCGGTTTCTTCACAAGCTTCCAGAGTCCGTCTTGGTCCAAACAAGCACAGCCAAACATGCACTGGTGCAGGAGGATCCAATAGCCAGGTAGATCCTTCAAGGCTGCTGTGTGCCAGCTCAGAGCTCGTTCGGGCTGCTCGATGTGCGCATGCCGCGCGTTGTCAACTTGCTCCTTGTAGACCCGGGCCACAAACATCAAGTGGCATGAGTGGTGCTCCTTCCTCTTGAGATAGAGCTGATGCTGCTGGGCTTCTGTTCGAGCGGCCAGGTTCTGCATCTGGCTCCATAAGTGGCATGAAGGTGCCAGATAGACCTCGTCCGGCATTTCTGTTCGAAGCCTCTGCATGAAGAGATCCTGGTGCTCCTGCAAGTCGAAGTCCCAGCCAGTCTCGTAGCTGAAGATCTCCACATCCATGCCCATCGCTTCTGCAAGAGCTGAGACGCGTGCTCCACCGCAGTAGACTTCCCAGAGCACTCGTTTGCGCTCAGGCTGATGCAGCTCTTTGGTGATGTAGGCGTGGAGCTCGTTCTCAAGGGCAGTGAGCTTGGTGTCGCAGGTCTGGAGCAAGTGGCGTCGCGTCGGACGCAGATCATCTTGGGCTGCAGCTTGAACAGCATCTTGAGAGTTGAAGAGCTTGACCTCAGTGTTGAAGGTCTGAAAGTCCATGAGCTCTCCGGCAACTCCTCCATCAGCAGGCACAACAAGTTCAAAGGCAGGTGGAAATTGCCACATGCTGGAGTCAAACTCGTTCAGCAGGGAGATGAGGTATTCTCCATGGGCACCCACCACAGCATGTTGCCAGGGCATGTCGTCGAGCTTGATCATACGGCTGCGGCAGTCCAGGACCAATCCAAGGGATTCCATGATCGGTCTCCCAAGCAGCATGGGTGTTTCACCAGGCAGCAGGTACATCTGCACATAGCCGTACTTGCCACCGATGCATAAGGGCAGGCGAACAGTCCAGGTGCACTCCAAGCTGGCGTCACCACCAAAGTAGAAGGTGCGTTTGCAACGCATGAACTTGATCTTGGTGATGTCGTAGTCGGTCTCCTTGAGCTTCAGCATGTAGCGATAGAAGGGACCGTACCCTGACAAGAAGGCACTTGCGCCAGGGTCCAACATTGCGCAGTCATGGCGCTCGCACCCATGGTCGTCCGTGAAGATCACATGGCCGTGCTCCACGTCGCCGACGGTGCTTTCTGTCGGTGCCGTCTTGCGCTTGGATGCACCACCACCAGCTTTGGGCACAGGGCAGTTGTAGGTCATGTGCCACATTTGACCACACCTCAAACAGGTAGGCGTGTTGCCGCTGGCTTTCGCTCTCCCTTTGGGATCGGGCTCTTTCCCTTTGCCCCTGGCAGGGTATTTCACCAGGGTGGAGCTACCTTTGCCCTTTCCTTTCTTTGCTTTGGTCTTGCCCTTGCCGCGTCCCGGAGAGACAGGTGACAAGGAGGAAGATGGCGAGGCCGGGTTGCCTCCATCAGTCAATGCCACAATTGGCAGATATCCTCTGCTGAGCTTGATCTCGTTGAAGCGTCGGCGGGCATCGATGTACGATGCATAGGCTGAGTCATACTCTTCAGCCTGCTCAGAGGGATCTGCATCTTCCAAGGTCTGGTAGTACGCGGCATCGGTGTCGAAGTCCTCAAAGGTCTCATCATAGTAGCTGTCAGCAGCTGTGGGCGATGGATCTTGGGAGTAGTCCTCATCTTCGTAGTACCCTCCCTCATAGTCATGGTCATAGTCGTTGTCACCAGCCCAATCATCAGCTTCATGCTGGTTGTCGTCCTCATAGTAGACCGCATAGCCACGTCCCTTACCGCGAAAACCACGGTGTTGGGCATGGTGATGTCCTCCGCCAGCTACACTCTTGTGGTCTTGACCCAAGATGAGAAAGAGGGCTTCTTGAACTTTGTTCCGCTCCATGTTGGGCGCCTGGGTGGTCACCAGTTGCTTTTGCTCTTTGCTAAGGCCAGCTCTTCGGAGCAGATGCCATCCTTGGACCTTTGATGGAAGTGTCACATCATGGTCAGCCAGCTTGCTGTAGAGGTGGTCGTGCTCGGTCGTGTACTCCAAGAGGGTCTGACCAGGTCGCCGTTGAAGTTGACTGAAGTACCTGTCGAAGTCATTCGGAAGCTGGACCGTCCGGTCATACTCAAAGGCTTTGTCCAGCGTCTTCAACATCTTCTCAAAGGCTCCCGCTTTCTCGATCTCGTCGATGGGAAAGTTCTCAAGGAGCTTCCATGCTGTGCCAGTGAGGCTTCTGATGATGCTCAGGAGTCCTTCAGGTTCTCGTTTGGCGACCCTCATCTTCATCACATAGATGGTGATCCTCTTCCTCCATTCCTTGTAGTCGGAGGGTGCACCGCTGAACAGCGGGATGTAGGAGTCCTTCGTGGTGTTGTAGTCTCCGGCGGTACTCGCCGATCCAGTTCCAGCCGACATTGCCTCAGGCAGTGAAGGGGGTGTAGACCAGGTAGTACGCCGGGCAGTCAATCACCAGGCACGTAGTTGCCACCACACCAGAGCTTGTCCAGGTAGAACAGCAAGAGGCCAGCACAGGGCCTAGAACAGCAATGCAGAGAGTCAAGGCCTGCTCAGGACCTGTAAGCAGCGTGGCCTGCCCAGGGCCAGATCAGAAGCGCAAAGAAGCAAGGCCAGCACAAGGCCAGATCCAGAAACCAGAGCAAGGCCTGCACAGGGCCAGAGAGCAGCAGCGAGAAGTCGATGTCCACCAAGGGCCAGCACAAGGCCAGAAGGTGCAAGACAAGGTAGGGCTCGATCAGCTCCGCTACCAATGTCAAGTTGGAGGTTGTGGCCCACGAAGTCCAAACCCAACGGTACGTGCCTAGGAGGCACCGCGGCTCTTTTCCAAGAAGCGCCGCAAGGCGTTGCCACGCGATGGCGTCAAATCGCCCACCACTGTTATGATTGGAAACAGCGGCGGAAATACAAAAGAGACATGTGTTCCCAAGTTGCACAGGTTGCAGCTGCAAACTTCACAACCATCATTAACCATCATTACCCCATACTAAATGTTCCAAACCAGCAACCAGATAACTATTATCATGGAATCTATGGGGTCATCAACCAACAAACATCACTGGGGCCTCAGCAACGGGGCTAATCTGCTGGTTGCTTTTGGCACTTTTTGGACGCAGCCGCTGCAAGTCGTGGCACCTCTGACCACATCACGCTGGTGGAGGCCTTTGATGGTTTTGGGATGGTTTGCTTGAGGCAATGTGGCTCAGGTTCTCGGAATTTCAGTCCATTCTATAGTCACCATTGAGGGATTTGTCAATCATCTGTCACCTATGGATCGCCGACACTTGGACGGGCAAACATGTCATCCTTTTCTATCATGTGGTTGGAACACTCAATTCGTAGCTCTTACTGGCCCCCCATCTTTTGTAGGGAATATATCCGAATATATGATGGAATATGAATACCCTTCGCTCCAAACCGCTCCATCCCTTCACCACTGCTCTCTCCGAAAAAGAATCGACTGGATATTTTTTGTTGCAGGATTTTGGATCCATCAAGAACTGAAAACGTTGTGTGAAGGATTTCAACTGGATAGTTTTGTTTGAAGGATCTTTATGGTTTTCGAACCCATCGAAAATTGGGTACGGGTCAAAACTTCAGCCCCACAAAACATACAAAAACCATAGGTTTGAGTCTGTTAACATGTGTTAACCAATGTTAACCAATGTTAACTATCTATAACTTATATCTAGCTGGGGTGTTAACATATGTCAACCATCTATAACTTATATCTAGCAGGTTGGTGGTTTTAACCATCTTGACAATGACAAATATGAGTTCGTCAATGGGAAGGATGACATCCCATATATGAAATGGAAAATAAAATTCATGTTCCAAACCACCAACCAGCTAGCTACTGGGGTACCCAATTTTGACCCATCGAAAATCTCTGGGCGGTCAGGAAATTCACAGTGGCCGCGGATCGGAGCCGCTTGGACCCACTCGGCAAGCAGCGATCTGCACGCCCAGCGCGGGAAAGCGAAAGACCTGGGGCTTCGGACCTGGAGAATTCTGGGGGGAATCCTGGGGAAATCCTAGGAAAACCCTGGGAAAATTGAGGAAATCCTGGGAAGATCCTAGGAAAATTTAGGAAATCCTAGGAAAATCGTGGGAAAATTGAGGTTGATGGTTGAAGATCACGTTTTCAATGCTTCACCAAGGAACAGCGAACTTCCACGATTGCGCGCATGGTATCGTAATCTCATAGAGTCTATTAACTATGGTTCCTTAGGTGTCCTCCATAAACATCAGCTCTTGGACGTGTTGGCACCTGGCACCACTGTCTAACATCACTCAATCACCAAAAAGTGGTGCTTCCAACCTTTATCCCCCGTAAAATAGGGTATATACATTCTAAACATTGAAATCTGTTCCAACTTAGATGCATCTGAAGGGATACGATTGGTTTCCCAGCCTTTTCAGATGGTTTTTGTGGCTGAACCTCACCAACTTTGGCTCCCCCACAGTGGTTCCTTCACTGGTGTCAAGGCTTAGGACCTCAGTCTCGGCGGATCTGGCAAGGCATTGATGTGGTTTTGTCTGAAATTATGTGGGAACAAGATGGAACAAGCAGATATAAATCGGTTATCATCATGCTCCCCCTTAAATGGCCATACATATCCATACATTATCGAAGGAGTTTAGAAGTCAAACTTCCGACAATATGGACAGATGAAAAGCAGAGCAGGGCAGAGGCAGAGAGAAGAGAAAGATTAGAAGAGAGAAGAGTAGAAGAGAAAGAGTCAGAAGAAAGAAGATGCAGATGCGCGAAAAGGTAGGAAAGTCGCGAAACACTGTGTTTTTCCACTGATTTGAGGCTCCGGAGGGT